CCATATTTGTGGGTTTTGTTAGGAAGATATTGTCTAAATATAACTATTCCTCTGAAAGGAACCATACTTTCGTCAATTACAACTACTCTTCCAGGTTGCAGAGTGGATTGAAAATTGTTTATTATAATAGAAAGTATATTTTATATTTTTGAAAGTCTGTTGTCAGGATCAGCCGTTTCATTATTATAGATATGAATTGGTTATGAAACAGAATCTTTGGACCAATATAAATTCAGAGCAGGTACTGATGTTAGACCCATGGCAAGTAAAATTCCAAAAAACTTACGTATTTCATCTCTATTTGTATTATTCCATGATTTAATTCTCGACTTATTTTTATGACCTACATTTATTTGCTGCAGAGCATATATATTTGTTTCAGTTACAATAATGTCCAGTAAATCATTAGTAACGAAAAACTGGAAAATATCTATTGGATGTTTTACCTCTTTCGCGTATATGTGCGGTGCTGAGGTACAATCTTCGGGGATTAAATAAAACTCACATTCGCCTGCTTTGATTGGTCCCCATTCATTTTGATCAACATTAGATATCTCTTGATTTTCCAACACTGTACCTTCTATTTCTTCTTGACTATCCACATTTTCGGCACTTTTTACTTCACTGTCTGCCTCTGATTCAGATTCATAATCTGTAGAAAATGGTGCATATGTTCTATCATGCAAAGGATCATCACTAAATGGTTCAGAAATCTCGTCTGATATATTACTATTTGTTTGCGAATTTTTCAAATTTACTTCCTGCGTTCGTTTTAATATATTTTGTCGAGAAGTGCTTGGATTTGCTTCATTAGAAATATTACAATTGTTTTCTTTATTTGCCAGGCAATATTATTTCTTGATTGTACTAATCCCAATATTCGGTTTGTACGATTCGACATCGACATTTTATCTGATAAACTCCGTAAAAACACAACCTTACTAGACAACCCAACGCGGAGTACTAAAAGAAGCGATATTACCCCTTCTTATCCCGACTTGTCGGCAGCCGCTAAAGTCATTTGTATCTACTGCACCAAATAGTCAGAAACTATACATATCCCCGGGGGCATATACGTATTCGCTCCGTGCGAAGTCATGGAAAGGGAAGCAAAAGCGATACTAGCGCTAGCTGCGGATAATTCGTGCATTTTAGGGGGATATTTTGTAATTTTGGCATATCAAATACACGTATACATTTTACTTTTTTTCAAAAAGTAGGTAAAAGCAACACAATAAGCAACCGGAGTTGCTTTGTTGAAAATTGTACAAATACCAGCAAAAAAAAACTTATATAACAAATTTCACTAACAAAGTGGAAATTAAATCAAAGAAATAAATGGATAGGTGTACAATAAGAAGAAAAATTACCTTTATTTTTGTGATAATAACAGTAATGCTGGAAATAGTAGACATCAGAAACTAGAAAGTTTTTCAATAAACAATAAATTATCATTTTACGATGTTCTTTAATATCCCCTTATTCTTAAATGTTCATTCAGCAAGGACTAGATTTCAAGATTTCTGCCGTTGATTATAATATTTGGCAGGTATGCAATTTTGTGACTTACTGATCGGAAACCAGTTTTAATCATTCATTCTATGTTTTCTTTAGAACAAAAATGAAAATATAAGTAGCGATCCTTTTTATACATTTTAACTTTACGCTATTATAAATGGTTTCTTCAATGACAACTTATTAGACTTAGGCAACTTCTCATACATTTTCCAGTAAATACTGTTGCCTGCCTATATTTTATTATTGATTTTTAATGATTATACATAATTTTCTTTAATTTAAGCGTGAAAAATATATAATAATAATAAATTAATGTTTTAATTGTTTTATAAATCCATATACTTTTATTAAAACTAACATATATACTTTTTATTTACGAATTCTATTAAAAATTGTATTTGTCAGTATAGGCAGAAATACTCCTTTAATACCAAAACAAATTGGCGCTGCTGTCGCGCACGGAGCGAATAATGCAGACGCACAAGGTATAGCCAAACGATTCGGAAATGTTCGGCTAGGATCGAAGTAGAAGTTGCACGCGCGTAAACTGGAGACACAAGATGGCTCTTAATACGTCTGCAATTTGCATTATTGCGTTATTGCGTTAGCATCGGTGTAACTTATGAACAATAGAAAATTTTATAGTTCCAGAGGGTTACTTTCCTTATCTGTACACAGAAAGGAAAGTAAAAAATGGCCGTGACCGTATTTTCCTAGGCAACCTATTTGCGGTATATTTAAATACATATTTTATTTAGTAAAAAAAACTTTTATCCTTTAAACAGATGGGTGAAGGTCGACACTACTTACGGATCCCGGACTATAAAGAAGACGTAGAGGTTAGTATATAATGATATTCAGCATTGAATTGTGATTTTTTTGTGTATTAAAAAAATTAAATACCTATTAGGTATGTGCAGAGTGATTATGGCACAATATTATAATGTTACCGCCCTTTATCTGGGTCAATTTTTGAACTGAAAAAAAAAAAAGGAAAAAACCGAAATGTAGGGCTTTTAGCGTAGTTTTTGCGCACGTAAAAAAAATAGGAATAAAGAATTAATATTCAGGGTATTTCATTAGGAATATTTTAATAATAGGTTTAGGACTTTTAAAATATAAATGTTATCTACTACTAAGATACAGGATGGTAAAGTGTTTTTTTGTTTTTTGCAACAGTTTTTTTATTATTACTTTCCTATCTGTATACAGATATAAGGAAAGTATAGGAATCATGATTTTTTAACATGCAGGGTGTCCCACGACGAAGTAAAACTATCTGTATATGGAAAAACACTTATTTAGGATTTTGATTACGCTCTTTTTAACTAAGATATTTTTAAAAATGGCCGACTTTTGGTTCTACCGGAAGTCGACTGTAACTTTGTTATTTTCAATAGAACCCCCTCTATATTAATATATTTTTAAAATCTACGTAAAATTTTAGGATGCTTTTGTCTAAAAACTTTTTTCAAAAAATGCATAGTTCTGTTTGTGTTATTTATTTTTTGTAAAAAATTTGACCGATGCAGTCCCTTATAAATTATTTCTTTACGAGGATACCCTTAAAGATATAGAAACAGTTTCTGTTGGGTGACTACTAGCAAGGCTAGAGGTATTTAAATCTATGTAGAAAAAACTCTTTATTCTATACAGCGTGTGTATAAAAATTGTGCAAAGTTCAAAATTCAAAAATATCAAATTTCTTAATTTTTTTTAAATAGAACCACTCGTTTTTTTCTATTTTAATGAATTTAGGGGTAAAAATAGGGAAGTAAACATGAACTTGCCTTATTTTTTACTCCTGAATTCATTAAAATGGAAAAAACCAGGTGGTTCTGTTAAAAAAATAAAGAAATTTGATATTTTTGTTTTGAAGTTTAACTTTGCACACTATTTGTTGCGTTTAAAAAATTTTGTACGACGTAAATATGTCTGTTTTCAAATGTGCATGTCCAATTGGCTATAATGGCCACTATTGCAAGCACCAAGAGGTTGTTGCAAAAAACATAATATATTTAGAGCAAATAATACCTTATCACTTTCGTCTAAACATATACTTTATGAAATCGCTTTGGGAAAAATTGCAAATTTATCTACTTTTGATACATTGAAAATTGATGAAGTTACAACAAAAAACTCAAACTAGAACATTTCTTCCTGTAATGATTATTCTTCTGTAGAAAACCAACAGAATAAGCAAATGTTGATTTATGATGACGCAAATAATGATGCCATGGAATTTGATGAAAAGGAGTATATTGACATAGAAACAATTAAATATAAATGGACAGCTCATTCGAATTTAATTATATCAAAGCTTGAAAGTGAGCCTCAATCTTTCGGACCCGCTATAATGAAATACTTGGACAACTGTAGCAAGTATACCAAATCAAATCAGTCTTTGATATCAGGCATGCATTGCACTTTTAAATACACTGGAGTTTCGTCTAAAAATAAGAGGCAGGCGGTATTAAGAAAAGAAAAAAATATCCGTACAACCGACTTCAATATCAAGACGTAAAGTTACAATGACAGGTAGAAGAGCATCGTTAGTTGGACGAAAACCTGGAAAATCTAACAAAAAATAAAAAAAAAGCACCACATAGCTTGCAGCTATGTGTAAAGAGTAACGTTGGTCTAGGTGATAATAAGTTTAGGAAATAGGGATTTTCACGAACATTAATATGTATTTGATTTATTTGTATATGTATTATTAGTTATTAAAGGAGTTAAGAATGTATACAGCGTTATATTTACATTTTACAAACATATTAGCATAAACACGTCTGCCCTTAATATGTTGACCCACCGAAGTAAACTGCAGACGTATAAGGACAAACTACGTCTGTACTTTACTACCCTTTCTTATTGGTCGGATAAATCTTAAAAAGCCGAATCGTTTGGCTATACCTTGTGCGTCTGCAGTATACGTATATGCTCCCCGGGGATATGTATCGCACATAAGAAATATAGCATTAGTTGTGTGCGATACATATCCCCGGAGGCATATACTGCAACACGCATCATGTTATATTCGACAATCAAAAAGATTAAGAATCCTACAAAAACCGTTAAAATATCTTGAAAATTGTAAGTTTTACAGCCTCCGTAATTTGGGAAAGTTTCATGTTTTTTATGCCGTTGGTTGTTAATAAACGTTACATATCCCCGGGATATGTATCGCAGTTAAGGTGTTAAATACCATAAGAAACAGCTCTCTATAAAAAAAAAACAGGAAACAGTGGCAGCGCTCAGCAGATTCGCTGTGTTACCGGTCCCCGAAGACCGATGTGGTGTTGGTTATTAATGTAGTGCGGTAGGTGAAAACTGCAAACATTAAAAATCTGTAGCAAACGAATTTGAGTTTCCTTTGCTTATAAAGGATTGCCATAGTGAAAATGAATGATTCACTCTATTTAAATTTCTTTGAAATGAAAAGTTATTAAATATTGAATAGATAAAAATGAAAACTTTATTACCTGTAACAAATATTTAAATTCTTGGGATAGAAAAAGGGATATCCAGGACTTTTAAAATATCCATTCAAATAATCTAATTCAACGCAGTCACGTCTCTCGCTATCGCTATTATCCTCGGTTCTTCTGCAAGTTTGCAAATTTGTACCATAACGATTAAGCAAATTTTGTAGTTGAAAACTATTCCAGTTCATGCATTCATTCGAATTAAGATTTGTTACAACTGAATTTATAGTTGTGGTGTCTATAAAAGTCGTAGGTTCATTTTCTCTAGGCTCTAACGGTAAAGCGTTATAATCGGGTTCTGTAAAGTAGTAAAAGGTCTTTACCAATTTCGGTACGTTTACAAATTTTGAACTGCTAGGGTTGTTATTTGTAATTTCCGTTTTTTGATGTACCAGTTGCGCTTGTTCAATATATGATTGTTCTCCAAATCGAGGTACAATATATCTGTAATCTTCTTTGGCGTTATTAACATCATTTTTGCTAGCCGGATAGTATTTTGTCGGGCACTCATCTTGAATAACTTCTATTATAAAACCAGTTCTGGAGTTAACATTTGTTTGGTCAGATTTGAAAATTAGATTTTTGATATTGTCGTTTTCAAAAGTGGTGGTTAGTTTTAACTCCTGGTTACAGCCGCATATTAGTTTTCCGTCGATTTTGAGATAACCATACGGACAGTTGTTGTAGTTGCTTGATCCTAAAGAAAATAAATAAAATTAGTAGATTATATTTGGTTAAGAGTGTAGGTCTTGAAGCCTGCATAAACTCAATTTTTTCAAATTTATTTTTAATATCCTTTAATCATTGGTTAGAGTCTAGAAGAGTTACGGGCCAAAAAAGCCCTTGGGGCTACTTTTCAGGCTAGTAAATCAGCTTTTTCATTTTTTATCTTCTATATAGAGACGATTAAATTAGTCGTCTTGGAGGGCAGACCTTAGTTATTACATATAGTTAAAAGTATTTTTTTTTAAGTCAACTAGATATGTTTTGGGAATTTGGAATATATAGACAATTAATGTCACTTATTGGTAATAAAAATAATTAAAAATCTTATGATCTTGAATTACACATAAAGTAATCTATAATTGGTTTTTCCAGTTATGGAATCAGAAAAAGAAGCTACAATTAGAAATAAAACTAGGTGTAATTTTGGAATATCTGGCGAGAAAAAAAATATCACAGATATGGAACCCAGTGCAGTTATCTCAGACAATGGTACAGATAATGGTACAGATAACGAAGTGGCTACGACTTTGGTGTATAATAAAAGTTTTTTGGTCGTAAAATCAACTAATCCTGATTAGCAGTATTAACTTAGAGACAAATAAATTAGAACAGAAAGAAATTAAGTAACTACAGTTATCTGCTAAGAAGAAAAAAAAAATAGAAGCTGAATTGAAAATATTAAATATGGTTATTGTGGTGAATCGACCCTTATTATGTTTAAATGTTTAATTGTTATAGATGTTATTAATTTATATGACACTGTCAATTTAGTTGAATGAAGCCTTTCGGCAGAGATAAGGATTTTCGGGTTATACCCCAATTTCACTACAATTTATTTAACGAAATTAAAATATGGAAAGGTATCTGCGTCCTGAGAGGTTTGATATCGATCCGGTATCAAACACTAACTCCGCCACAACTTCTCAATGGATACATTGGAAGACAACTTTCAAAAATTTTCCTAAAGCCTCGTCAACTGGCTCCACTGGAGAAAACCAGCAACCTGAACCTCTGTCAGATGCAACTAAATATCAACTCCTGGTAAATCATATTTCTGCAACTGTTTTTAATCATATAAAAGACGTCGAGACATATGATTAAGCTATTTCGAGACTAGACGCTATTTTTATAAAACCAAAGAATGAAACGTATGCACGCCATCAACTGGCCAAGCGTGAACAGCAGCCTGGTAAAACGATTGACCTATTCATATAATCATTAAAACTTCTGGCTAAGGAATGTAGGTTAAAAGCAGTATCTGCCGAACAAAATAAACAAGACTGTATAAGAGATGTATTTATGGTTTGACATCGAGCTCCATACGACAGAGGCTTCTAGAAAGCAGTTCCCTTCAACTTAATGAAGCGCACCAACAAGCCAGAGCAATAGAGCTTGTAAGAATTTACAACAGCGCCTTCACAAGTGAATCAAACGCATTTCTATCAATCAATTAAAAAAATGCACAGCTTGTAATACAATATGTCTATCCTGCGGCAAGAAAGGCCACTTTACAAAAGTCTATCGAAGTAAACCTACCGTATCCGCAGTGACTAAAGGAGAACAACCTGAAAGTGAACTCGGAACATTAGCATGTATACTTTTTGCTGCTTCGGGTTTAGGAGAAGCTATTGTACCAATTTTCATCAATGGACACGCTGCAGAAGGTCTGGTTGATACGGGAAGTACATGTAGCTTTATAGAAAACCGACTTGTTTAACAATACCGCTTTCACATGAAGCCTTCTCAACAAGAAGTAACGATGGCTACTTCATTTTTAAAATCAAAGGTTGTTGGAATTTGTAAAGTTAATATAAAATTATTGCAAAACAGTTATCAAGCCGATTTGTGGGCACTGAATGGTTTATGTACATATATTATCATAGGGCATGATATTCTAAAGAATCATTCGCAAGTACAACTAGACTTCAGAGGACGCAGGCCGACTCTCAAAATATGTGCACTATCAGCTGCTAACATTGAACCTCAAAACTTATTCTCCTATCTGATTCCTGATTGCAAACCCATTGCCATCAAGACTCGAAGACACGCACCAGAAGATTCAACTTTTATTGAAGCAGAAGTTTCAGAGTTACTTACGGTGACGAACTTTCCTCGATTATTCCAATCGAGGAAAATTCGTCACCGTGGCGTGCTCAAGTATTAGTTACTTCCAACGAACGTCATAAAAAACGTACGTGTATCGACTACTTCCAAACTATAAATCGCTTCACGTTATTATATGCATTCCTACTACCTGCTATGGAGGATGTGGTTGCAGAGGTAGCTAAGTAAAAGTGCATATCATCAAATTCCCATAGTTGAGAACGATAAACCTTATACTACATTCGAGGCATCTGGAAATCTTTACCAATTTCGTCGAATTTCGTTTGTAGTAACCAACGGCGTTGCTTTTTTCCAGCGTGCTATTCGCTTAATTATTTGGATGAAATCACCATATGTAAAAGAGATGAAGAGGATCATGAAAAAAAGTTATCTGCCTTCCTCGATGTTGCCAATTAAATACAATCTTAGTCTTAATAAAGAAAAGAGTGTTTTTGTATAAAAGAAATACATTTACTAGGCACATATCCAACGGTACAATCAGACCCGATCCTGACCGCTTGAAACCTTTACTATTTACTAGAACTACCGTTACCGAAAGAATTAAGTACTCTTAAAAGAGCTAATGGTATGTTTGCTCACTATGCGAAATATATAGCTAAGTTTTTAGAAAAAATACGACCCCTAATAAAGATACAAAAATTTCCACTTGTAGAATCTGCTATAGCATCATTTAATAATCTGAAACAAGATATTACTGGGGCTGCAGTCAACTCGATTGATCCTAGCATTCCATTTACCGTTGAAACAGATGCCTTGGAACATACCATTGCAGCGTCTTTATCACAAGATGGACGTCCGGTAGCATTTTTCGCAAGGACTTTATCTGTGTCTGAAAAAGGTCATTCCATTATAGAACAGAAAGCATACGCGATGAAGGCATTTTCTAATTTCAAAGACCTTTAAACTGATAACCGATCAAAAGTCAGCTTCATTTTCAATCAGAGACATGCATCTAAAATCAAAAATAGGAAAATCCTGAGGTGGCGTTTGGAACTGTAATGCTTTCCTTTTGACATAATTTACCGCCCTGGGGCTGAAAACAATGTTTCCGATGCACTCTTCAGAGTAGTGGCTATGGTCATCAGTGGAACTGAAAATCTGATCCAGCTTTACGAAACGCTTTGTCATCCTGGTGTCACGCGTCTTGCTCACTGGGGGTGTTCTAAAAATATGCCGCACTCTATAGACGATATTAGGAAAATTACCTCATCTTGTCGAGTGTGTTAAGAAATCAAACCAAAATTTGATACTTCTTCGGAACCCTTATAAAAGCAACATCTTCTTTAGAAAGATTATCAATAGATTTTAAAGGCCCTATACCGACGAACACAAACAATCGTTATCTATTGACTATAGTAGATAAATTTTCAAGATTTCCTTTTACATACCCTTGCCCAGATTTAAGCTGAAAAACAGTCATCAACTGTTTGATTGATCTTTTCTCTGTTTTCGGTTAACCCAGCTATGTCCACTCCGACCGAGATGCCTGTTTCTTATCAAGCGAAATCCAGCAATTTTTAAGGGAGAGAGGGGTGGCTACGAGCTTTACAATACCATATAATCCAAAAGGAAACGGACAAACAGAAGTCTGTTCAATTGGCCTTAAGAACCAGGAATTGGGACTTGAAATTCTGGGAACTGGTACTGAAGCAAGCTTTACATTCTATCAGGTCGCTATTATGCAAGGCAATAAACGAGACCCCGCATGAAAGGATGTTTGCACACCCCAGAAGATCTGCGAATGGCCAGTCAGTACCATCATGGCTTCAACCTGACCCCATATTAGTGAAATGTCTTGTCCGAAAAAGTAAATATGACCCCATCGTGGATGAGGCTAAACTTCTTCAACCCAATCCGTTTCATTCACTGGTTCGCCTACAAAACGGCACAAAGTTACCATTTCAAACAGACATCTAGCCGTAACCCAACAAGAAGAAATAAATGTAGATAGTAGTGAAGGTAGTAGTGAAGATAGTAATGTAAATTTGGAACCTCAAGTGCCAACTATCCTGGAATCATCCAACCGTCATTGCGAAACTTCCGAACAGTCTGGAGACCAATGCCAAGAATTGCGTCGTTCTGAAAGAACCCGTTCTAGACCCAAGTACCTAGATAATTATTTTTAACATGGGAAGAATGTGATGAATCGACCCTTATTATGTTTAAATGTTTAAATGTTATAGATGTTATAAATTTATATGACACTGTCAATTTAGTTGAATAAAGCCTTATATTTTCGGGTTAAACCTCTATTTCACTACAGTTATTAAGAAATACAAATTACAAGAAGAGGCCTTAAAAGAAATATTAATTAAAGAAGAGTGGATAATAATAAACCAAATTGAAAAAGCCAAAATGTCCTGCTCCTAGAAAAGAAAAAACATCAAAGTGACAATAGTATTTTAAGTAATTATTGCGAAAGCGCCCTTTTCTTAAAAATATATATTTTTTTTACAAAACTTACATTTTAGTCTTTAGGAAGGATATTTTTTTTTTTCATATATACCACCGGAAACCCTATAAATTAACCTTTTTACTTTCCTATCTGTATACAGATAAAATCTGATGTGTCCAACACATGACTTTCCTATCTAGTTATTATAGGCATTTTCCAGTTATTTTGTACAACCTATTGCAGCATCTCTATAAATGTTTAGAGGATAAACTAAATATATACATTTTCCACATACATCTACCTCGAAACATTTTTTCTATAGATATTCATTGAAAACGAAAATACAGAAAAATTTAAATTTAGCACTTTTCCATTACGGTCCATTTTAGAAAAATCATATATAAACAAAAATTATAGAAATCGATATCGCAAACAACTTTTAGTTCAACAAT